GTCAATAATTGTTTTCTTTTATACTCAATTCTACGTGTGCTCTTTTGGTCATGTTTAAATGGAGACCTTGTTAATCGTGGTTTGCTTTATGGTGTATACTGTTTACCCGCAGAAATCAGCTTTTTGATCTTTATTTTAACTTTTCAATCGTCTGAGCAATAACTTTAAGGTGTTATTTCCCAAGCATATTTAGCATGTTTGTTTGTATATATAGAATTTTTATGTTTTTTTGGAGGGAAAAAAAATCTTTAAGATTACTTTGTCGTATTTGATTACTTTTACTAGCTCACCACTCATCAAGTTGGGCAATTTTTTCTTTCTTTCTTTCATTATTCAACCGCAACGAACAGGTTCCGTGTGATTCCCTACTGTTAAACCGTTCAAGTTCATGAATACTACCAGAACCACCGTCATGAGTTTTGTGTTTCTTTGTTTGCTTGCCTGTTCGTTTGTTTTGTAAATAAGTTATTAACACCTTAACCCATTCGCCTCTGGAATTTTTGCCGGAAAACGCCTTTTGAAGCTAGTCGAGCTGTTTTCTGGTCACCTTCTTGCTATTAAGAGCTAAAACTTTCCATAAAGCAATTTGCACGTCGTACACTTCGCGGCCTTCTGATCCGGATGTAAAATATTAGCTTGCGTTGTTTTCCCACAAGCTAAGGAATCTGAATCGTCTCAGGACACAGCAAAACTGTGCCTTCAACTATTCTCCTGCCTGGGTGTCGACAGTATTACGTTGACATCGGCCATCGCGTTCAGGCAAGAGCGAGTGCTGCTGGTAACAAAGCTAAACCTATCATTTGCAAGTTCATTAGTTTACCAGTTTCACTTCAAAGGTTTAACGTTTGATTGTTATATCTGTTTTATTGTTTCAACAAGATTTTTCCTGTTATTGATCAAGGGTATGGAACGAATTTTATAACCTGTTCATCCAACTTTACAAGCCAGGCCAACTTCTTCTTCAGTAAATTAGGGAGAACAGAATATGATTCGTTGCGTTGGGTAGAAAAACAACGGGATGGATCCCTCTAAAGCTAAGAGTTCTTTCAGTCGACTTTCTTTGCAGTAGTTATATCATTCAATTCTAAAAGTATTGGAAACCCTACGGGACCACTTAACTGATCATGATACTAAATGAAAAAACTACTTAAGCCATGGCCGTACTGATATTTGTAACATTGTATAACAAAACTTATTCACCATTTTCGACTCAAGGTTTACTGTCTCATCTTTTGTGGCTCATCGGCCATTCTTTTACGTTGTCAACTGACAAAAGAAAAAAGGAACAGGAACCACCCACTGCGTGTCTCCTCGAGTTTTTCTGGTTCTTTTGATGGTATCTTGTTGACCCGCGCGGCATTTAACACGCAAGTTCAACTGGAAAGATCATATGAGCTTATCGCAAAGGTCAAAAATCTAAGTCAAGACATTCCTTTGTTTTTTGTTTTTTTTTTCTTTGTTTGTTTGTTTGTTGTTTGTTTCTCTTTTTTTTAGAAAAGGTTTGGCTGTTGTTTATAAGAACTTAGTTTTTTATGATCCTCTCGTAAACTCTATTTGGAACTTGTAAAACAAATCTCTCCTTTTTTTTCCCAGGTCATCAACATTTAATTATAAGACCTAATGGTCAGTTATGTGTGGAGAAATGTGATTGGACAAAGTGGTGTTAAATCATTTAGCTCAGTTTAGAAGATTTAGTCCATAACTTGTAGATTACACTGTCATCCTGATTATCACTGTTAAGGTAAGACGTTTCTGACCTTTTTTGGTAGCAAATCATATATTACAGTTTCCAGTTCTTTTCCCTTTGGTTGAACAGAGTTTAGAAAAGTTGGCCCTCTCTATGAGTACCTAGGGAAGTCCTTTTTCGCCGCACGTTTTCCATCAAACCGTTAGTTTTTCAACGAAATTAAATCGTCGTATATTAAGAGTTGTTCCGCGTGGTAACGGCACTAGTCAGCTCAAGCACGACGACGAGGGAAACGAAAAGGTATAAAACAAAAAAACTCTGAACGTACAACAGACTTTTCTGGCAAATTTCTCTGCTTTCAACGTACGACTGAAACTGTCATTCGTGGATCGGAATGCCAATGCTATCGTCGCGCGAGTGCTTTATTCTCTAAAATCATCGTTTTATCAAAAGTGATCGTCGCGACTTCGATCGAAATACCCATAGAGAGGCTCAAAGCTGCATTAGTATGCAGGTTGTCAGTAGGGAAAAGTTATCTTACAGTTCTACTAGCTCTTTCATCTCAGGACTTTTATCTTGATAAAGAGGAGTATAACAGTGAACTGCTGAGAGATTTGTGTGGAGCCCTTTTGATATACACCATTTGACATTGAATACAAGCTTTTTCCCATTTCATCTAGTAGACAATAAAATTGCAGCCTATATCCTCGAAGGGAATTCATCACGCGGATTAGTATCGGGAAAACACTGTGAAGAGAAATTTGTCAAGAAATCAGAAAGAGAGTCTTCTGTAAGCAAGGTAAGAAATTAGCACTAAATCATTTTGGATAAGTTTTCTTTTTCCCGTTAAACTAGCTAAGACACAATATGTCCTTTGCTTGTTATCTTTGTCCGACTGGTGTACATTTGTACTCGGATTTATTCCTCTGAGGTTTTTGCTACTGACTGTGTCTGTTCGTCTGGCAAAAATGCGTAAGATTTTCTCTGTGAAGTACTTGATTTACGGGGCACCAATCCTTCCTCTTTTAAATTGTTATGAGCATTCTCTGTATTGTTTCTGTCCTTTTCTAGAAGCTTTCTTGCCGTTCATATCCGATCTTGTTCTCTATTTATTGCCCAGTATCGGTATAGGGCTGGCGCACTTGTGAAACTTGATGGTCTTAGGTTTTCTTCCTCTTTTACTCTTTTCCTCGGTCCTATGTGATAAAGAAAGGTAGTCTCCTGTACAGCATTGCCCGTATCACAACCAATATGCGCCAAAAAAAGGCTGTAGCTTTCCTGTTATCCACCAGTAGTTTGATGGTCCTGAATAGAATGTAATCTCTTCTGGTGGCTTTAAGATTTCCTCTCGTTGTCGGTTGTATCATATTCTTCGCCTAATCTTTTCCTTAGCCATAGGTACAAGCTTTCGACGCAATAATTTCTGCGGTCGTTTGGTTGATGGAATTCAAAGCATCCATTAGGGAACTTAAGCATCAGACGTTCCTTATTGACGAACGGTATGGCTGGCCGCGCAGAACTGGATCGGGGACGCGGTTTACGCGCCAAAAGCAAATCATTAAAAGCAAACCAACGTGAAACCATCACGAACAATGACAGAATAATTTATTTGAAATTGTCTGTCAGAGATTTTATTTCTTTCTTACGAAGAAAACATGATTTCACAGGAAAAATTTCTACTTTTGTATGACGAATACTCTTTGAAGAATAGACATATTAAATTCTGCAAGCAGAATATGCAATTAAATGCTGATCGTACTACGTGAAAATTAACTCTGAAAGACATCAACACGACACCGAAGAACTCAAAACAGTACGATCAGCATTGCAGTATTCTACTTGCAGAATTTAATATGTCTACTTTTCATTTTGGTGATCAGGTCTTTATAGATCCTACGTTTTCCGGCATATTCGTTTGCGGTCCTTTGCAGTCCTTTGTGGTTAATGTTTGTACTCTTTGAAGAAGCCAGAATTTGAATCTCTGGTTTCAACCTGAGAACCCGCGTTTTCAAGTCCCTGACCGCAGCTCAAGAACGTGACATGCTTGACATGCACTGTGGCTGTCATCCTGCAAAAATACCTCCGGCTGGCGTCGGTGGTACCAGGAACATCTGGTGCTTAAGTTCCTTATTAGGGACCTCAGGCAAAGGCGTTTTTGAGCGACGCACGTCGACAAGAAGTGAGATCCTTTTCATTTCAAAATGACTTGACAATGCCAAATTTGTGTATAATTCTGAGTCTCTTTCTTATTATAGAGACGATTTGTCCAAAAGTTTGGGCAAAATTACCGCTCAAGGATGAAAAAAGTCACTTCCTGTTGACGTGGTCGCCCAAAAACGTCTTTGCTTAAGCTCCCTAAGAACAAGTCAACACCAACGTCATCACTAGTGTAATTCCCTTGATACGTGATCCCTTAAGCTATACTGACTGCACTATTTCACTTTTTAGATTATAAGCGTTTTCTTCATTTGGTTTCTCTCTTTTTTTCTTTTCAGCTCTTTTTAAATTTACTTTTTATTCCCCAGCCCAATTTGAAAATAGCAAATATTTCCATTGCATATGTTTTGTAATTATTATTTTTTCAATGTATTTTGAAGCTTTGCACATACTACTGAATTGGCATTATTCATGTTATTTTCAATAATAATAATAATAATAATGATAATAATAACATTATTATTATTATTATTATTATTATTATTATTATTGTTATTAACAATATTATATATATTATAATATTATAACAATATTATACATTGAACGAAAAAAAAATGGTCACGGCAGTAAGTGAAACTGATAATTTATTTCTAAACGTGTAAAAATAACTTAGGTTCTCTCAGTTTTTTCTCTTTTACGTAATCAGCAAACAGTTCCTTTGCCACCTTCGACGACCTTTTTTGTGTTCCGTGAGTCCTTGCCTTCAACTATTTTTCGATGTCTTTCTCGGTCAACGAAGCAAACCTGGAAGTCAGTGTTTTGCTTCTTCACTGACGGCAAGCACAAAGCGCTCGAACTTGAAGTAATTACCCTTAGAAATCAGGCACCGCGGTCATACGTGACATAATTACCCGTGACCTTGAGTGTCCTTTACATGATTATTGTATAATCAACAGCCTTATGACGTCCCAGGCGCTGATTTCGAAAATTCACTGTACGCTTTCGGCCAATCAGAAAAGAGATAGTGAGTTGAATGTATAATAATAATTATTATAATCACTAACGCTTGCCCAGCCAAACTAAGACAAAAACCGTTGCGTCGGTCTCCTTTCAGTTGACATCAAAATGTTGTTCTATTTCAGACATTAGCAATCCAATGGCTCTTCTCAAAGTTGTCCTTGTGTTAATGCTTGTAGTTTTGAGCGTGTCTTGGTGTAAGGTTCAGAACATGGAACGTAAGTCTGAGGCCTCCTTTGGTGAAAATGAAGTGAAAGTTAGGGATAAGAGAGCGATAGATCCCCTGAGCTTGATAGGCCTAATTGTGAGCGTGGGTGCTACCATCCAGGGGGCTATCTGCTCTTTTGCATCGATTTGCAGCGAAGACGAAATCACCCCAAGACTGGAAAAGATAGAGAAGAAGTTGGAAGCTATCCACAACGATGTCAAGTCCATCAAGAAAGATGTGGAGGACATCTGGAATGAATCGAAGCGGAAATGGTACTTCAGTAACATCGAGTACGTTGCCAACCAAAGGAAGAAAGTGATAGAAGATATAAAGAGCAAGGACACTACCGGGAGAGCTAAGGAAAGACAAAAGAGATTCATTAATTTGGTTTTAGGTGGAGAAGGCCAAGACGAATTCATTGAAAAAGCTCTTTTTCATATCCCAGACTTGGTTGTCAACAAGGGTCTTGTCACTCATTACTTTAAAGTTCAGACCGATAATGGAAAATCTCCAGCAGAAGCGGCCAAGCTGACCTGGATTTTTATAAGGAAACTCTTCCGATACCAAGAAGACGGCTACGTCTCCGTTGTGCTAGCAGCCTCTTTGAAGTACAAGGATGACGATGCATCTTTTAAAAAGGTCATGAAGGAGGTCTGCAAATGGTGGCCAAAACTAAAGGATCCTACATACACCGAACTATGCGACAAACTAGGTAAAGACGAGGGTTCGCGGGATAATCGAAAAATGCAGCAAGACTTTGTATTTTCTCTACGAGATCTGGCTCTTGTTCCTGTTCAGCTGGTACAGACTGACTGCAATAAATTCGCAGACTCCTACACTCTACTCTACTCGACTGGCTATCTTTATGTTGCACAGCCCCAAGCCAAAAAGATCTTGATCGTCAAACCTGACACATTGGCAGTCGTCAAGTCTATTGATGTACCTGGATCTGAATGTGGCGGAAATTGTCATCCGTATGGAATCTCCATCTACACCCCAATGAAACTGTTTGCCATAGCCGCCAAAACCAGCACCTCTGGAGGGAAAAGCAAATTCATGCTGTTTAAGATACAAGGTGACCTAAACGATCCCAGTGGAATAAGTCTTGAGCATTACCTTACCTTCTTTCAACTGTTTTACCCTTGGCAACCTCGGAGGGAGGCAGATTTAGTAGGTGTTGCCTTTTGCGGAGAACGTCTAGCGTACGCTGATAAATACGGTTCAATCACGAATTATGAAATGCCATACGACAAGTTGGTTTACGGTTATAATAATGGGAAGCCAGATCCAATTCAAGGACGAACTGATCGCTTAGACTGGGCTCTCCAAAGAAGCAGAAACTATCACAGAGGCAAGCAATACTACTTCGGCTGCTCGAACGATGGGAAATATTTTGTGATAGAGAGGGAGCTTTCAAGTCATTCAGACGTAGGGGCGGTGCCCTCTGACGAGAAAAGTGGTGCATACAATGTGTTGGACCTGGCGAAAATAAAGGTGATGAACAGAGACTGGTACGATGTAAAGGACGGTCGTTCGCGGATAAACATAATGAAAGGAATAGCCATGGATAGCAAAGGAAATCTGTTCTATTCTGCTCAGAAAAGCTTTTATGCCAATGGCGAAAGGAATAGCCATGGATAGCAAAGGAAATCTGTTCTATTCTGCTCAGAAAAGCTTTTATGCCAATGGCGTAAGTGGTGTCTACCAACGCACTTATGATGGGAAGCGTCGCTACATCAGAGAATGGGGCGAGGGGAAGAAAGTGGAAATGTACGGGATGGCAGTGGACGACAGCGGTTTCCTGTACTCGGTGGAAAATATCGGTTCTGGAAAATGCCTTTACAAATTTGACCACGAAATCGACCTGGAGGACATAAATATTCCTTGAAAATACAATCGTTTAAAAGATGATGTTATTTCAGAGTAAAAGTTGACGTGTAATAAATCTAGTAAAAAGTAGCCTGTGATGTATCCAATTCAATAAAGAAACAATACAGTTTACGAAAAGAAAATTATTTTGCTGTTACATAATGCAACCAATCGCAAACTAACCTTTAATGAACGACAATTTCGCTTATTTGGAGAGTGATACTCACGGAAAATTTCGGTCAAAATCCCAACCCTCGTCATCCCCTTTTTCCCTTTTCCCTACCTCTCAAAATTTGATTTGCTATAATATTTTGCATGGACAGCCTGTGCTGTGTCACTATACAAACTGGTAATCATTTTCAAACTTCGGTCGCGTTCATTCCAACACGCTCAAAATTTCACATTTACGTGAATTTCCTTGAAGATGAATTCTTAGGAATAGCGCCTAAGTTTAGAAAGAGAGAAAAAATATCGTATAAAAAAGTGTGTACTGCGCGTTCAAAATTGTTGTTTTATTGCTCATTGAACCTGGCGTTTTTTTTTTTTACTCACCTTTGACAGTAATATTCATTATTAAGAGCGCACGGTATCGAGAATGTCAAAAACTACGGTAATAGGTTCTAGTGGCGTTACACCAAACCTTTTCCCCAAAGGTCCTTTTGGATAGCCTGAAATTCATCCGATTGCTTCGAGTCGTTTTCTCCTCTCAACAACGTCTGAATCGACCGACGTTAATGCCGTCCAGTGACGTCACTCAGTACCCGAAAACCATGGTAGTGATGTTGATTGGTTGATTGTCTAAACATTCGCATAATTATGTATAATTATGAAAAATGTTTGGTGGGATTGTCGCTTGGTATTCAGCGAATCGCATCCCTGGCATTCTTTCGTTTATAGTTCAAACATTTCGATAACCTTAATCTTTATCCAGAAACTCATAAGGGGTTGAAACGTGTAACTCGCGTTCAATGCTCGTGAATATTCACTTTTACCATATTTGGAAACCTTAGTGACAGATATCCATTTTTAACAAAATGGCTGCCGCGCGATCAAGATGCAGATGTTTTAAGACAAGAGTTCTGCATTTCAAGGTTTAAAATACACCGTTAAAAGACAAAAAATGGAAAGAGAAAGATCCAAAGAATGGTCAGCTTTCTTTTTGTGGAGGAAGGGAAGCTTTTTATCAAGAAATCTTCTTCACGACGGAGCGCATGGTCTGTTTTGAAATGCAACCAAGGCAGTGAAGTTTTTCAGGTACATTTTGCACTCTATGGCCAAGACAATTACGTTTTTGAAAGAGAATTTATGTATTTTTAAATGTTTCATAGACGTTTTATAAATTTTTCTCTTCGGCGCTTAAGAGAACAATTACAAAATGTGTCCCGATTTGAGATGGATTTTGTGTTGAATTTTGCCATGTGCTTAGCCCATTTCACTTGCGTGAACGGATCCACGATCCAGATATAGTGTTTTCCGAACTGCTATAAAGGATTAACTTTTTGGACTTTGAATAAAAATTTTCAAGAAACGGATTATATGTCTATTCTTTTGAGTTTGTTCATTCATAAAATTAGCTCAAAACATGATCGTGACTACAACATCCAAGCTGAATTTAAGCTTAAATGCTTCTCACATTCATTACAAGCATTACTTTTTGCAAAGATGTCAGGTTCAGGTTTTGGACACTTTTCGATAAGCAGCTAATGATTTTATTCGAAAATATTTTTTACTGTTTATTCTAGACTTTTAGTATAAGAATTTTAAAAGCCTATAGTTTACTGTACACAGGATCAACGAGGCATCGTTTTTTGAAGTGACGACTTCAAGTAGTTGCGAGGACGTTAGTGGGTTCATAATGTTACGTTTGGCCCGGGTGGTATAAGGCAATAATATCCGGCTCAGTGTTTCGGTGGGATTCCTGGTCTCAACCTTTGAAAGCTTCCTCGGCTTTCGGGAGTTTTTCTCCCGTTTGTCAGCCATTTTTTTAAGCGGGCGCGGGAACCTGAAGTAAAATTACGTCACGTTGTTTACGAAGTTTGATTGGTCAGTTATCTCTTCTTCTCGTTCTAAATATGGTACTTTCGAAAATGAATAATCACGAGCATCGAACAAAGCAAACATATGAGAGTTACACGTTTCATGGGAGAGCTAAGGAAAGACAAAAGAGATTCATTAATTTGGTTTTAGGTGGAGAAGGCCAAGACGAATTCATTGAAAAAGCTCTTTTTCATATCCCAGACTTGGTTGTCAACAAGGGTCTTGTCACTCATTACTTTAAAGTTCAGACCGATAATGGAAAATCTCCAGCAGAAGCCGCCAAGCTGACCTGGATTTTCATAAGGAAACTCTTCCGATACCAAGAAGACGGCTACGTCTCAGTTGTGCTAGCAGCCTCTTTGAAGTACAAGGATGACGATGCATCTTTTAAAAAGGTCATGAAGGAGGTCTGCAAATGGTGGCCAAAACTAAAGGATCCTACATACACCGAACTATGCGACAAACTAGGTAAAGACGAGAGCTCGCGGGATAATCGAAAAATGCAACAAGACTTTGTATTTTCTCTACGAGATCTGGCTCTTGTTCCTGTTCAGCTGGTACAGACTGACTGTAATAAATTCGCAGACTCCTACACTCTACTCTACTCGACTGGCTATCTTTATGTAGCACAGCCCCAAGCCAAAAAGATCTTGATCGTCAAACCTGACACATTGGCAGTCGTCAAGTCTATTGATGTACCTGGATCTGAATGTGGCGGAAATTGCCATCCGTATGGAATCTCCATCTACGCCCCAATGAAACTGTTTGCCATAGCCGCCAAAACCAGCACCTCTGGAGGGAAAAGCAAACTCATGCTGTTTAAGATACAAGGTGACCTAAACGATCCCAGTGGAATAAGTCTTGAGCATTACCTTACCTTCTTTCAACTGTTTTACCCTTGGCAACCTCGGAGGGAGGCAGATTTAGTAGGTGTTGCCTTTTGCGGAGAACGTCTAGCGTACGCTGATAAATACGGTTCAATCACGAATTATGAAATGCCATACGACAAGTTGGTTTACGGTTATAATAATGGGAAGCCAGATCCAATTCAAGGACGAACTGATCGCTTAGACTGGGCTCTCCAAAGAAGCAGAAACTATCACAGAGGCAAGCAATACTACTTCGGCTGCTCGAACGATGGGAAATATTTTGTGATAGAGAGGGAGCTTTCAAGTCATTCAGACGTAGGGGCGGTGCCCTCTGACGAGAAAAGTGGTGCATACAATGTGTTGGACCTGGCGAAAATAAAGGTGATGAACAGAGAGTGGTACGATGTAAAGGACGGTCGTTCGCGGATAAACATAATGAAAGGAATAGCCATGGATAGCAAAGGAAATCTGTTCTATTCTGCTCAGAAAAGCTTTTATGCCAATGGCGTAAGTGGTGTCTACCAACGCACTTATGATGGGAAGCGTCGCTACATCAGAGAATGGGGCGAGGGGAAGAAAGTGGAAATGTACGGGATGGCAGTGGACGACAGCGGTTTCCTGTACTCGGTGGAAAATATCGGTTCTGGAAAATGCCTTTACAAATTTGACCACGAAATCGACCTGGAGGACATAAATATTCCTTGAAAATACAATCGTTTAAAAGATGATGTTATTTCAGAGTAAAAGTTGACGTGTAATAAATCTAGTAAAAAGTAGCCTGTGATGTATCCAATTCAATAAAGAAACAATACAGTTTACGAAAAGAAAATTATTTTGCTGTTACATAATGCAACCAATCGCAAACTAACCTTTAATGAACGACAATTTCGCTTATTTGGAGAGTGATACTCACGGAAAATTTCGGTCAAAATCCCAACCCTCGTCATCCCCTTTTTCCCTTTTCCCTACCTCTCAAAATTTGATTTGCTATAATATTTTGCATGGACAGCCTGTGCTGTGTCACTATACAAACTGGTAATCATTTTCAAACTTCGGTCGCGTTCATTCCAACACGCTCAAAATTTCACATTTACGTGAATTTCCTTGAAGATGAATTCTTAGGAATAGCGCCTAAGTTTAGAAAGAGAGAAAAAATATCGTATAAAAAAGTGTGTACTGCGCGTTCAAAATTGTTGTTTTATTGCTCATTGAACCTGGCGTTTTTTTTTTTTACTCACCTTTGACAGTAATATTCATTATTAAGAGCGCACGGTATCGAGAATGTCAAAAACTACGGTAATAGGTTCTAGTGGCGTTACACCAAACCTTTTCCCCAAAGGTCCTTTTGGATAGCCTGAAATTCATCCGATTGCTTCGAGTCGTTTTCTCCTCTCAACAACGTCTGAATCGACCGACGTTAATGCCGTCCAGTGACGTCACTCAGTACCCGAAAACCATGGTAGTGATGTTGATTGGTTGATTGTCTAAACATTCGCATAATTATGTATAATTATGAAAAATGTTTGGTGGGATTGTCGCTTGGTATTCAGCGAATCGCATCCCTGGCATTCTTTCGTTTATAGTTCAAACATTTCGATAACCTTAATCTTTATCCAGAAACTCATAAGGGGTTGAAACGTGTAACTCGCGTTCAATGCTCGTGAATATTCACTTTTACCATATTTGGAAACCTTAGTGACAGATATCCATTTTTAACAAAATGGCTGCCGCGCGATCAAGATGCAGATGTTTTAAGACAAGAGTTCTGCATTTCAAGGTTTAAAATACACCGTTAAAAGACAAAAAATGGAAAGAGAAAGATCCAAAGAATGGTCAGCTTTCTTTTTGTGGAGGAAGGGAAGCTTTTTATCAAGAAATCTTCTTCACGACGGAGCGCATGGTCTGTTTTGAAATGCAACCAAGGCAGTGAAGTTTTTCAGGTACATTTTGCACTCTATGGCCAAGACAATTACGTTTTTGAAAGAGAATTTATGTATTTTTAAATGTTTCATAGACGTTTTATAAATTTTTCTCTTCGGCGCTTAAGAGAACAATTACAAAATGTGTCCCGATTTGAGATGGATTTTGTGTTGAATTTTGCCATGTGCTTAGC